AGAATAAAGAAGAATAGTCAACTATTCGAAAGCGCTCGAGTTTTGGGTCTCGATATGAAACTATTACAGTATTATTGATCCAGGTTTAGTTGGCACACAGGATCACCTACAAAAGTTGAAATATTTTTCAAAACGAGACCCAAAACTCGAGCGCCATCCAAAAAGTGACCATTTTTTTTTTTTTCACCAAAAAGAAAAAGAACCATTTATTAATTTGCGTTCGAATTTTGGGTCTCGTTTTGAAAAATATTTCAACTTTTGTAGGTGATCCTGTGTGCCAACTAAACCTGGATCAATAATACTGTAAGATAATTATCGGGACAACATGGCTGGTGAGATTAAAGCGTAAGAAAACCCAAGTTTAACACGCTTTAGATTACGATGATGATTCGTACACCCCGTGTAAGCTTAACGATTAATGGTGCTGTCTTTTCTACTAGTTAAACGTAAATTTTATACAGCGAAATATAAATTAATGAACCGTACTTTACTGATTCGGGAAAATATCTGCACTCTCCATTCAGAGGAACGCGGGTGGAAATTGAATGGCCGAAATGTTAAAGATGATAAATGTTTTCGTGTATTTTTAGAATTTATCATTTGCCTTCGCGGTCTCACACGATTAGAATGAGTAATGCGGACCATAGAATCACCCGTATAGTCAGATACTGGTCAGGAATAGTCGCTGATATGAGGAACCAGTCTCCTATCCTTCGCCACTACTCTCCACATACTGTGACGGGGATCTTGGGGAAACACACTCCCCTTCTTTCAGCTCCTCCCCTCCTGTCTAAATTGAAAGACGATGTGACTGGATATGAACGTTGAAAATCTTTGTTCAAATGTGAAATACGTTGAAACTGAAGAAAACACTGCTGTCAGTCTACATATGTATTCATACTCCGATAGTAATGAAGATAAATTATACATTCAAAACTTCTTTTTAGGTGTGCGTCTATCTGCATAAGCATATGCATTTAACCAACGAAATAAAACACCAAGGC